TAGAGCATTGTTTGGTTTATCCACACAATCGTTTTTGGAACTCAAACTCTACTCAAACATCTGAGAGCAATGAAGTTCGAATGCATGAGAATTTCTGATGTGAGTGTACTAACCGGAATTCTGGTTGCAGTTGTTTGCGGCAATGGCGTTTTCCGATTTAGCATTCCTGGCGATTCAATTTCAAACCTATCTCTATACGTCGGGATTTCTTTGCAATTCAATGAGAGTACTCTTTATCAAGTACAACACTCAACTGGTGGCCATTGCTAACTGGTTCAGTGCGTTATCGATATGGTATAGCAACATTTCATTGTTGATCAACTTTTTCGATCATTCGTTTCTCAATTGTTAAAAATTTTGCCGTCATGATTTTAGTTTGTGTTCTCCGCTCTCCTGAATCGTTTTCCTTCACCATGTTTTGCGAATTCACAATTCTTTGGCGCACCCCATAACCGATTATGGTATTATTGTTTCTTCTCATACGTTCAGCACAACAACTGCGACGATTTTAGGATCATGCTGGCCGTAACAATCGAACGGTTGGCCGTGATCAGGCATCCATTCAAAGCTAACCAAAAAGTTGTCACATCGAAATTTTTGCTCGTACTATCGATGATTGTCATTTGTTCGTTTGCGGTCACATTCGTTCATCACATTGCATTCAAGAAGGTTTTTATCAACGGCCGAATGCACATGCAAGTTGGTTTCAATCAGATTATTAATAGTACAAGTAGATTTGGGGGGAAGAATCGAATCCTCAGAAAATGATTAATTCATCGCCAGAAAAACTTTCATCTACTTCCCAATTGATGTTAGAGCGGTAATCTCTCCAGAATCGAGAGCTGTGATATAGCAATCATTCGATCATGCTTTTTGATTGAGTTTGCCATTCTTCATGAGTATTTGAACCATGACCAGGTGAGTTAGCAAAAAAAAAATTCGACAGCCTGGGAATTTTTTTCTTTTCTTTCGAAACAACGACGATGCAGTGAGCAAATTCAGATGATAAAACATCCAGTAATCTCCGCATGGACATTGATTCAAGCATTGACTGTGGTCATTATACCGTGCATTCTGATGGCAATTCTCAATATTCTTCTCATACTCTCACTCAAAAAACACACATTCCCCTCCGATATGCTCACTGTTCAACAACGAAAAGACAATCATCAAATATTGATCACGAAGTCAAAAACCGAAAAAAAGGTTATTTTCTTGTGTTGCTTACAATTTTCCGCAGCGATTCGCTCATCTGTGTGCTCAGTTCCATTGTGTTGGTCAAAAACTATGTGAAAAGCGATCTGAGTGAAAATTCATATTTACGGATCGTTGAAGGCTTGAATTCTAATCTTCGATCGCGATATTGACGAAAAAAACTTTAAACAAGGAATATTAATGTAACTCGAAGGTTTTGCTTCTCATTTTATTATTATTTCATGAACTTTTAATAACGTGATGAGAACCAAACAAATGAATAAACTTTCAAATGAATCTATCATTTTCTTCTCACAATTATTGAAAAGATTCCCGAAGATGGGAACTTTCTCAGCAAAAAAAAACTGTTCAAACAAATAAACTCAAGCGACATTGTGTCGGTTCATTCATTATTCAATCGTCAATCATTCTTTGAATCCTTAATCTTTGCATGATTCAAGCTAATCTTTGAAACTTTAAAATAAATTGAAAGAATGTTTCAGTGAGCTTTGAGCACTTACGCACTTATGTAAATATCACTCAATGACAACTCATAATAATGACAGTGTCACTCAATGAGTTGCTATAAACTCAAAAATGAACTGAACAAATTTTCTTGTGATAAACTGCGCAAAATTACTCCTAACCACCATCAAACTATTTTGACAAAATTTATGACAAGCACGAGGAATAATCAGTGATTCTGATTGATTGTTATCGAGTGAAAATTGAACTGTAACATCAAGGAATGCATTGGTGGATTACACTTAAATTTTACGTAAAATCAACTGTTTACATAAATTGTGATGAGAGGTTATGATGGATTGCAAATGCTAGCAAAGAACAAAAAGTGAAATATTCCAAATGCTGATGAATTACTTCAAACGGTACGNTAATTCTATGGATCTGCAGTAGGATCGCGTATGATTCACGCAGATCATTTGCAGGTGACAATAATGGTCGTGGTGATTTTAACAAGTTTTACGTTGTGCAATATGCCAGGAGCGATTATGTATATTTTGGTACAATTCACAAACGAGCAGGTTCGGAATGTGTCCATTACCCGATTATTTTGAATGGCGGCCACTGAACAATGATTGAAAAGTTCCATTTATCAAATCAAATCGAATGTTTTGAATGAAGTCTCTTGATATGCGTTTCAAGTTTACGTAAAATCTCTCACTAGCAACTGCTCACTGCAAATCAATCTGGAGTTCTCGAATGTCAAATGCTTGCTGCTAATGCATAAACCATAATGAAATTTCTAATTTTTAGCCAACAGCGTTTCACAAAGCTGTCGCAAATTGTCTTGCGATAACGGGAAAGGTTGGTTTTACGTGTTGATCACTTAATGAGACTATTCGATGAGCTCAAATATGTTGCTCTGTTCACAGAACAATTAGATTTCAAGAACGCTCAGCATCAATTGCACGTAACATCTTCGCGTAATTCACCCAGCTTTAATGAATCGAAACTCACCCATGCAGTCCATTTGTAATCAGCTGTATTTAGCTACTGGCAATTATCAGACTGAGGTAGGTCGGTGAAGTACATTGGAGCTTAGGCTTGCTGAGAATCACACCAGAGTTCGAGTATCTATGAAACAAGTACACGATCTGCAGCCATGAGACTTAGTCTAAGCCTAAGCTGAAATAAAATTCATCATTCTACCTCAATCTGATTATCGTCATTTGTTTATATCAGTCAAATGAAAGCTGAATCATGCATTCGCCGTGTTCTGTTTTCCATTGNCATTGTGCAAAATGAATTGCTCCATTTGTCTTTCATTCCACTGACTCATTTTAACAACTGAATCGCTATTATTCGCTTTCAACCAAGCCTGACCAATAGCTCAAATGCGTCGCAACAAATACTACTACTCAATCAATCTAACGAGTGATTTTATAAAATAACAATTTTCAGATGCTGAATTTTGTCATCTTCTGTATGTCGTCATCACATTTTCGCAAGAATCTTCTCAAACGTCTTAACAGCTGTTTGCTTGGACTACGGCGCCGATCGAGTATGCGTTCAGGAGGTTCATTGTGATAAAATTTCGATCCAAAAACTGATCTTTAATTTATTCGATTATGATGATAAAAAATTCTTCGTTATCAGCTCTCTGAATTCCGTGTCTTATGAAATTTTCAACACATTGGCTCGATGAAGCCATTGTGCACCATCGTATATTCCCTTCCTTCTTTATTTTGCTTATTTCAAAGATTTCTTACTGTTACCCAATGACTATGATTCAATAATCTGATGTTGAAATCGAAGTCTTTCGAGTCGAATTCGAAGCAAATTCGTATGAGTTTTGTTGGCTGATCACAATCAGTGTGTTATTGATTCGGTGCTGTGCAAAATAACTGCTCAAATGCAAAATAACTCAAGCTATTCTATTCTAGGTACGTCATTTTCAACAATAACTCATTGCAATAGCCAACATGAGAAATCGCCTTTGGCAAAGCAGTCAAATAAGAATCCGTTCACGCGTAATGGTTTAGGTTCGTTTCAGTTCTCCTTGAATACATAATAAGCATTGCATCAGATTATTGTTCATTGATGGATGCTCGAGTTTAAAAAGCATCAATTCAATGCTCTGCAACTGAACTTTCCGGACTGCTCTACAATGAATACAATTACTTTTCAAGAGTAGACATGCAACTAGCATTNNAATTTCAGGTACTACTTACAGTGAGTTCACGCTGAGCAGTTGCGATACGAACTGCGCAACATTTCGAACGATGTCGATGCGACTCACCGAATGCGCTCAACGTCGTCACAAAAAGAAGGCACCGCTTCCCATGAAGACACTGAGAACCGTTAAAATTGAGCTGGCTTGATGCGGTTGTTCATCTCACAGCCTCTGGGTAACGTTAGCGGTCGACAAACCATGATCTGTTTTCTTGACCTGAGATGTGCTCCAGGCCTATCAATGCCTGAGTTTCAGTTACTGAGAAAGTTTGAAGGTTGTCGTATGAGAGCCGTGTTCTGTTATTGAGCCGTTCCTTGATCACAAAATGTTAATGTTGTTGTTCTGATATTAGCCAGGTGAATGTTGTTCACGAAAAGAACCAGCTTTTACTATGTACATAGATATGATTTTATCCATATTTTTTGTCACACTCGTAGTTCTATTCGTTGCACATGCTCGAATGTAAATGATTTATACATATTTTGAGAGATTTTCCTGATCGTTAGAAACTAATAGTCATATTATATGATTAAGTTCTTTATCTGTATTTTTTGTGATGTGTTCTTTCGTTGATCGTGTGACGATCGCCTTTTTTTCCATATCAAATACATTTCTCTAATCTCTTAAGCTGTCATTATGAATAATGATCTCAGGTTTTCGTTTCGAAACAATAAAGTTTATTTTGCGGCAGCATTTTTCAATTGCATCAGTCGTATTGTTTTTTCGCCTTATTGTCATAACCTCTCATTATGTGAAATGATTTTCTTTAAGGAATGTTCATCGTACCTGAACAGATGCAGTTGTACTTAACCATACATATCATTTACTGGAAACGGTTAAACTATTGAAATGAACATTGGATTAGGTGGCTGATGGTAAGTTTCTCAATGAAGGTTGTAAGCAAACTGATAGCATGAATATGAAATCAGTATAATGAAAATAATTTATTGCGATGATGTCGATTCCAGAAAACGACAGAAATTGAGACAATGGTAGTAATGATTCTCATCTAATAACATTCAACATCAAAATCACAATTGTACTCACGTCAGTAAAAGTAAATATGCTGATCAATCGAATGAGTGTAATGATAATTTCACGATTTTTCACGATAACTCTGGCAATCATAAGAGTGAGATCATCAATTGCGTATCGGTTTCGCAAAACCAATTCTGGCGTTTCCAATGTCATAAATATTGCAAACGGATCTTATGAAAGTATCGCCTAAAATCCAATCAACACCGAGTTCCTCAGACGATCCGTCGAATATTGTTAAACCGCATAAATCGTCACCGAGAGAGAGCTGAATCATGAATTGTCTTTAGATAAATTTGGTTTCAATAAAAGATATAACTGATCCATACACTTACGTCAACAATATACTCGTCAGGTGGTATATTGTAGGCATGACCGTTGATGAAAATTGTGAAGTCTGGCGCAGTTCGACGAACGCTACAGTTGATCACATACATACTGTAGTAGGCGTTGTAATAGCCACCAATCACACTGATAATCGTGCTCAGATATTTTGGTGGAACGCCTAGCCACGAAGTGCCGGTATCGGAAATTGCTTGCGTTTCACCAACCATATAGAAGGACGGCAATTCGAATCTGAAAGCTCATCAGCAGCTGTTTACAGTCCTCTCTGACAATCAAATCAAAGAAATATTTTCAAACTGTTGGCAGTTGATTGCATATTTGCTGCATACTGGCGTAACTCAAATCCAACAGTGGTTGTTAGGTCTTAAGGAAAACTTGGGTTTATAAACGAGTTTGAGTTAGGAACTCATTTTCTTGACTGAAATCAGCTGGAACTTCTGCAGTTTCAGTGCCACTTGGACACGATAGTTGTGTTGTTAGAAATGTTTAAGAAATCAATCCTGGAAATCCGTGTGTGAAACAATTCAAAAACTCCTTGTCTCCAAAATCACCCTTCAATAGTGAATTGCCAATAATATTTTCGTGTCAAAGGAACCCAATTGATATGCGAATCACAATGCTCCACATCATAACCACCATAAGTGATCTGACCACCTGATCCGTTACTCGACATACTTTCAGAACTGAAAACCACTGTCAGTATTTTGCTGAGAAATCAAAGTTGTCTTTCTTGGCCGACAGCAGATGCTGCAGAATGGCCAGCAAAATTAAAGTCACAATTTGCAGTTCAGGATAGAACGCGATTTGATGCGATACGGAAGCGTTTCTCGCAACGAGCATATCAATCAACGAAGTCATGCGAGAATCCCGACAAGTTTTCAGTGACCTTTCCATCCAAACGCTGAACAAAGGCTGCTCCAGTTGTGGTAGCATATTTTCGACAGGATTCAAAGCACCAAACGAAGACAACTTTGGCCATGCCAGGCCCATGATACCATCGATTGGCTGTGAGCCGAATACCTGATCAATCTCATTGGCTAGACCAAATGTTTGATTTCCATACTCAAAACCATCCAACTGCAATTATAATACCAATATCAGTCGATACGATCTTTCTGTTCGACAAAACTCACTATTTTGCTCTCAAAACCGTGCGAGCGCTTGCAATTGAACGATTTTTTTTTGACTCGGCAAGATCGTTTCAAATTGACGTTGATCCAGAGCAAATAACAAAAAACTGGCAAGTAGAGAACTTACTTTGATCACATCTGTCCCCAAATATCCGCTACTCGCTCCCGATCCATAGAACAAGCGAAAAGGCTTTTCGAGGTTTGTAAATGTTGATGAATTGCTGAAAATCGCTAATATCGCCCCATAAAATGCGAAATAGAATTCGAACTCATTTATGTGAACAATGCAACAAAGATGAGCTGAGAATACCAAGGACTGAAATGATGTTTAGTATATCCAGAGCTGTAGAAGCCTAAACAAGCATCTGTCCAACATGACGTGGATACAATCCACAAATCTGAACTTCCTGTATCTGGAACCACTTCAAGGCTTTGCGCTGAAAGCATAAATTCACTGAAATACAATAGATGTTTGAACGAAAAGTTTTCAAATGATGACAGCTTTCACTCTCGCTTGCTACTTGAACTCAACATTCCGTCCGCATTCGATGAATTTTGAAGTTTCATTCCTCTCATTTTACCTGCCATTCTGAGTCCATAATTTTCACGAAATGAATCTATATCCGCCTGGGTTCCATTACGTTTGTGGGACAGCATCCTTGAATTGCTTACATGTGTGAATTGATGGTTCATTTAATGTGAAGAAAACAATAGGGACTACTTACGTGGTGTGCCGATATGAACGGTTGCCAGGTAGAAGTTATCGTTCATAACTTCCAGATTCTGAATCCTCGGAAACGCTCCGGCAACGAGTCTCGCGCGATAGTGGTCCCATTGGCCAGCCCTCAATTATCAACTCGAATATTACATTCTCTCTTTCAAACATTCCATGTTCTATTGTAAAAAACACAAAATGAAACGCACGCTGACGTGTTCAACGGAATGTTTCGGACGGACGGAAAACTGAGCAGCTAAGCAGCCAAAACAACCACTCATACAGGACAAAGATGGGGCAAACACGCGACTCCTAACTGTTCTTAAATATGGGCAATAAGTAATTTGCAAAATTGTTTCTCTCCTTAGAGAAGTAAAGTTCATTGACATTCACCACAAATCATGGAATTACACTAGCTCAAAAATCATGCATCTGATTCCTAGTCGAAGAAACATCATCAATGCAACGAGCCATTGCCTTCCTACTATAGGCGGTTTTTGTTCACTGAATGCGATGCTAAATCGCTTGCAGTGCTACTTTGAAACAATATGAAGTGAAAACCGTGAAGTTATATCAGATCATGCAGGATGAATGCTTTGACGAGAACTGCTCTATGGTTTCAATTCTGCAACTTGAAGAAGAATGAACTAACTCGATCAGGTTCTTTCTCAGTGAACCAGAACTTCTGATTGGAATGTGGATGACCGCACTGATCGGTGATAGAACCGTTAGATAGGATGTGAGCAGCCAAACAATACTCATTACAGAGCAGTGCTGAATTATCGAGAGTTTAGTTTCATTTTGTGTGAGGACCGTTCTGATAAGTCGTTAACAATATCGAAGCTAACCTCGCAGAGCAGTGATAAATTCTCGCCAAACAAACAGATTTACGACGAGTTTATGAGAGATTGTCTGTCATTTATAGTGATAATTGTTGACGTTTCGATGGTTGGCGATATGCTGGTGACAGACACGAAGTGTTGACTCTAGGGAAAACGATTTTGTGATTAAATCGACAATCAATCCAATGAAATCAATTTACATTTCAGTTGAATTCAATTGAAAGAAGCGATTTTGCTATTGATCGCGCCAATTCAACGAAATTTTCACAGAACGTACCGATCAAAATTCGCATCAATTATCAAATAAAGTCATGTTCAATGGAGGAATGAGAATTTCTTCAAGAATGACTTCCTGTTAAATGCCCCCAATCTACAACGTAAATGTATCACTTTCACTATCGCTATATCCCTATTTCCTTCAGTTTTTAATCTTTCGGTCATTTGTTCAGCTGCTTCAACAAAACGAATGGACATTCACAAAACACGAATCTATTCATCACTCGTTACTTCAAATTACCCAAATGACAATTGCTCACTGATTAATACTTTAAGTGATCATCGAACAAATTTAGAGAATTTGCTGCAAGAGATATCAAATGAAAATTCGATAGTTTCACCAAAAAAAATGGATGAATAATTGATAGATGACGATTGTATGTCATCGTTCCGCATTTCACTTGAATTCAAGATGGTCCCATTTGTTTGAATTGTCCTGCCGCATCATCAATAGATATCCGCAACATAACCAAATGACATTTCATCCAAATATCAGAGTCGATGTTCAAATTGTTCACTGAATACGCTAATGAACTTTATGAAAAATACTGATTCAATATCAATAATTTAAAATATCATCGATCGAATACAGATGACAGAATGAATAAATTGTAATTTATAACAAAAAATTATTCTATTAACAAATTCGTCACAATGAGTGCACTTGCGTTCACAACTTTTGGATGTTAGGGATACTAGCATGTCAACGTAGAGCAGGAAACATTCTTATGTTGAACCTCGTGTCCTTTTCATGCATCGAAATCTGCCGCCGTCGATTGTCTTCATCCAAACCTCTAACCGTTCCACCACTGTGATCAATGTGAATCGATCGCTACAATTTCAGTACAGCAAAAAAAACATCGCAGTCCAATTTGCTTTATAATTTGATTCTACGTGACTGAAAACTCATGTAATAGAGACACAGCCGGAAAGGTACACTCCTCATCCATTACGATTTCCCATCAATATCCCTGCTGCAAGATATATACAACTGATTTGTTCACCGCCACCATCGAATATGTCAATGAGGATAGTCTTATGAATAATTTCAACTCGATAACGTTACACACGTTGCAATGCGAGCAACTTCCCAGGAGAACGTTGCTGAATTGTTGAATTTTTTCGAAGAAATTCTTTAGTGAGTACATTACATCAGGTTTTTTGCAGAACTACGTCAATTCGCGAGAGAGAAATGTGACCTTCATTTCAATGAAAATCGCCGAAAAATATGGGATGTTTCTGAACAGGATGTCATTAATAAAATCCTGTACAGAAACATCCCATATTTTTGATACGTTGATCAACAATTGTTGATCAACGTATCACTGATTATCAGCGACTCATTGTCTCCTGTTAAAACGTGACTCTTCTCACAAAAAGACTCAACTTGACGACTTAACTTTGAGCGATCCAATATCAACGGTTTTAACGATCATTTATTTAGTATATCCATTAAGATTCTGAATAAGGCATAAAAACTTCTAATCAAAATTGAAAAACTTCAAATAAAATCATTAATTCGACAATATTGGTTCATAGAAACAAATTATCGCATTACTGAAATTTAATAAAACAGTACAGCTTGCGAAATGTGGAGAAGAATTTCTCAGTGATGAAAAACTCTGACATTCCTCTTGTTATGATGGCCAATTTACTAAAGCAAAGTCTTGATAATCGTCAGAATTTCTTCCAAATGATAGATTCTAATTTCAAAATTCGTACAAGGTGAGCAACCGTGCAACATCCACTGGAAAGGTGAACATACTGCAATGAAAATCATCACATCTTTCCAGTGGCTCGACTCCTTCCGTCAAATTTTCTCACGTGTAAGGGATAGAACTAAGGCATCTCAGGATATAATCTGGATGAAAATTTCTCGAATCACTTCTAGACAGCGACACCTTTGCGATTTGCGAAACTGATCAAACATCTTTTTTACACGAGACAGGCAGATTCTTGTGAGCTCGAGCAATTAGATAACAAAGAAGCGGTCACTAGAAATCCCCTCAGTGACGGAAAGAAACTTCAACACATTGCTGGATTGCGAAAATCTCACAGAAAAGAAAAAGGACATCACACTTGTTTCAACCGAAAATCACACA